ACAAAATATTACTAACTGGAAGATTTAAAATGCACATACTAATATGTAATCTTGAAATCTTTATTGCAATAAGATAAATGCATAACTGTATGAATGAACTTGCAATAAAATAATCTAATAAACTTCTTTTTATGTCATATGAAAAAAAATTTATGATAAAGATCTAGGGTGGACATAAAATGCTATAGATACAAGTTTTAAGTAACATGTTCAATTATTTCTATATAAGTACAGTGGTACTAGGATAGAGGATGTACAGACACATCATTTTCAATCCAAATTTAAAACAGTCATGTGTATAGCTAATTACTCCACCAGATAAAAGTAAGAAGCTTCACAATATTTAGATTCAGAAACTCAGGCACACCTGTTCAATGTACAAAATTGCAGCAACAGGCAAAATTGTCTTCTATTTCTTTAGAGAAAGAAAGGAAAGAAAAAGCCAAAGTTAAACAAAATATTTTGTTTAATTATGGTCTCAAGTGACTGGTCTGACCTAACTTTGGACCTTACACATGACTTTCCTTTAGCTACAACAATGTACCAAAGCATTTCACATACCAAACACGGTATTTATAATAAACAGAGATCAATATTTAATGCTTGTAGAATAACTCATAATTAATAATTAAGTGAATGTTTACTGACATGTTGATAAAAAATTTAAAGATGCTTCTCAAAATATTAAACTTAACCTCAAATATTATAGTTTCACCTATAACAATAAACATCAATTCCTTTTCAAAGAAATCTATAATTTAATAAAGAAAAGAAAAAACGTAACAGTAGTTCTAAAAGTTCTCATTTTTAAATAATTAAAAGATTCATTGATTTGATAAAGAAGCAATAACTATTCAATTGAGCCTACCTTGTTGTAACAAAATTGATGGAAACGATTCCGTCAGCCCTTTGATCTATTATTGAGTAAAGAACTCTTGTTTTTATTCCCCTGGCACCGGAGTGCTAGTTTTTCCTATATATGGAGAGTGCATAGAGAAGACCGTTGGAGCGTAACTGATCAATACGCAACACTATTTCATATTGACAATGAACATTTCATCCTGTGTTTGTATGTATATTTGACTAATGGTCAATCAAACAAATTGATTTTAGCTTGTTTTAGATCGGTAAATAATAGAACAATGATACATCAAGGGTAACAAAAACCTCGGGATAATTTCTGCCTACTAATTGAAGTCGATCTTTTAGGCTTTTTATATAACGTATTCCACAATTACCAAACAAAAGTGTATTTTTGTTCAATATATAGATGGGATGTTAGATATTTTATTTGCATATTGACTTTTGTATCTTTCTAATGTATTTATCTGTAAGTTTACAATGTTTTATGTCAATAAATGCAACAATATCTAAAACTGGAGCAAACAATACCACCTGATGTTAGCCCAAGGTTTTAAATTTTAAATGCTCAATGCATTATTATTGCACATATTTGACAACCAACAAAAAACTATTGAATTGCAATTCCTGTAAAGTATTTGCTGGCAACAATTAAAATGCAAGTTATAATTCCATGTTTTGCAATGTTCATCTTCTTGCATATTGTGCAATATTTTTTCAATTCTTAAATTTATAAATTATTTAACGGTATGTATTTCATCAACATCAAACATAAAAGTAAATAGTGGTTGATTGATTGATTTTTGGTTGCTATTGTCTACTTTGTGGCAGCCAATTTTGATTGGTGGACGAAGGCTGGAGTGCAGCGAGAAAACCACCAACCTTTGGCTGGAAAACTGACAATTCTTGTCAATAAAGACTGACGTTGAAAGCACCTGCAAAGTGCAGGGTTTGACCTCACAACCTCAGTATTGACAGGCTAGTTGTATAGAAGATGACACATAGTTCACATGGCCACCAAAGCCCCCTAAAATAGATAGAAATAGTTCAAAACTGTTATAAATATAAAAGTGCTTTGTAAGGAGTTGCAAAAGTTTTCAATGTTCAGGTTAAACCAGTGCTAGTCGACAACTCTGTGTTTAAATTCTCGCAGGAATTTTGAGATAAAAAAAAGCACTGCCCTTTGAATAGGTTTTGTATAGGGATATTTGTGGATTTTTGTCATGAACCTATTCACCAAATTACTTCTTTTCCATTTAAAAAATTTCAGTCCGACATTGCCTGTATGGTTAAATAAAACAATAATCATGATTTTTTAACCAGATATTGAGCTCAAATATTGCACTGAGTCAATAATCCCTTCATGTAAGCACCAAAAGGAAAGACTTTCATTCGAATTACCAAGGATTTTTTAATAATCTATACTAGAATGAAAGATGTACAACAATGTATAACATATAAATATTAATCTGTCACAATTGATTGAGAAGAAGCAACAGCCTGGGTAGTATGTAGGTATCTTGTTTGTAAAAGAAAACATGTTACCTATATTTGTTTACAAATCTATTTCAATGATATTTTATCACTAATCAATAAGCACTTTCAAAACTTTATCTATAATTTAGATATATCTTTTTTATTCTACAGCATGCTCTATAAAGTATAATTGATTGCTCTGTTGGTCTTAAATTAGTTGTATTTTGATCTATTTAAGGTCCAGAAGATATAATTTCCCTAGATAGCATCATGAATTATTTCTCATAATTCAAAAAATCCTTGATCTAATAAAGGCCTTGTGAAATAAATCTTTTTAGTACATTATTCGTAACATTGGTGCACCTTTTTGCAGGCATTCTATTAGCTGAGCATTGCTAAATATCACATATGTGTTAGTATCAAGGAATTACTGATTAAAAATAACATGAACTGAGACATGGAGGACAATGCAAGATGACAGAAATGACCCCTTTGTGTAGCTACATCTTCCCTATCAGCCTACACAATTATGCTGATAGTGTGTAGCAGACAAACCAAAACAATACAATACATGTGTTCTACACATTCCTTCCTGGATTCTTTGCAAAGGGATAATCAAATATAAGTTTTCCTTTGACTCAAGACTAATGTCTCCACTGTTTCTTCCTGTCTCTCTAGGAACAGCAACTGTATAAAAATGATGTTATCTGGACATTAACCCACATGGGAAAAGGCAAACTGTCAATGTTCACTCTTTTGTAATAAATTTTAAACAAACTGACTGTTTTTTACTGTAGGAGTATTTTCATGGACAAACTTGTTTACTTATGTGAAATCCAAAAAAAGGATCATGCTGATATAAAAAATAAGTACGGCACATGACATAAAGTAATTTAGTCCTGTTTATCTCTAGGGGATTTTCCGCTCACAAACTTTTTTGTTTGCAGAAATGATTAAATCACCTATCACATATGTAGAAATAATTAAATCTACGTTTAGTTAGAAGAACCAATAAGTTTCCATTTAAAAACAGTTGATGGACAAGGTAATAACAAACTAGATGCAAAAATGTAGGGAAGACTTATTGTTCTACTTTCACGTCAATCAAAATATCTTAAATATGAATAACAAGAATGTGTCCATAGACACCATGCCTCTCTCACACAATCACACTCCAATGTTGAATAAACTGGGATATCTGGGTAAAATCTCTAATTGGCAGGGCTGATCCAGCCATTTTTAAAAGGGGGGGGGGGGGGGGGGGGGGGGGGGGGGGTTCCAACAATATGTCCCCATTCAAAAGCATTGATCTTCAAAAAAAAGGGGGGGTTGGAACCCCCAGAAACCCCCCTGAATCCGCCACTAATTGGCATTAATTTTTAAACTTATTTTCTCATCACTTAAAACTTAAATCTACATTCAGTTCTTGTATTTACATACACTTATATGAACATACAATTCTTCATAATATAATTAAGATAATTTTATCAACAGTATTGATTAATTGATTTTTTAAAAATTGTTTACTATGTATTGATTGTAGCACATATGCTTTAAAATGGCTAAGTGAATTTCACTCAACATGAAGTCTGTGACCATAACATATGGCATGTATTCTAGCCAACAGAAAAACACAGATTACAAGATTATAAGTGAGACCTAATTATAATGTAATGAGCATTGTGTATAAGTTTCATAACATTTGGTTGAGGCAAACTAAAGTTAGAGAACGGAAACCAACTTTGGGACGTACGTACGGACAAGGGTAAAACTAATTGCCCCCTCCGCTATGGCAGGGGCATAAAAATAAAACATTAGTAAGATATACTTTGCTTAAAATGTTTCCATATAGTATATTGGACAAAAGAATTGCTGTCCAGAAAATGTTAAGCAAGTTTTATATGGACGGCCAACATCGCCAAAGCATATATATTCTTCAAACACACAAACATCATAATTGACTAGCCACACATTGCTGCAAGTTAATAGATAAATTTATCTGCTAATTTTATCATTCTCAATCATTTATGTTCTGATAGAGGTAATCTTTAGAAACTAAATGTTAGTAAAAAAAAAAAGTTGCCACTTTTTAATTCTATATGTTTTAGTATGAAATATCTGGCTAAAAAGTATTTGTTACTGTAGATGTTAAAATTGTTGTCTAAATTTTTAAAAGTGTCAAGAGATAAAACAGACTGTTATAAATATCCAAAAGTATTTTTATATTAAAGATAATTCAATGATTTGAAAGAAATTTTGTAATAATAAGCTATCAGTTATTTGATTACAAACATGGATACAAAAAATTAAATTGTTGTTAAAATTAGACAAGAAGTTGGGAACTAAACAATGTTTTAAATAACAGATTCATCTACCAGTTTTTTTTCCAATGCTATTTATTTTACCTAGGTTAAGGGACATAACTCTTTAAAATCACTAGTATGTTTGTGTCAACAATTTTCATACAAATATTCTAAGCTACTAAGTGACACAGTTTTTTTTTTAAAAGCTGTTTCACATAAAAGCTTAAAAAGCATTGTTGAAACTGACTTTGGCAAACACTGTACTGATTTGATTTCAAGCGTTATCTCTCTTTAACAAGGTCAACCTCCTTCAGAAGCAAGAACAGCATGATCAACAAGCTAAGACACACTGAAGCTTACCGCTTTAATTCCTTCCTGAAATTTGATTTAACATGAAGATTAATTAATACTCTTGTTAAGAAAAGATATCAACGACTCCATCATCTTATGTTTAAAACACATTCCAGTATTCGTAGCTCTCATTTTATATGAAAAAATATGTGAATCTTGAATAAATAATAAGACATCTAAACCTACTAAATTCCCATATTCAATATACAACATTTATGAGCCTCTGCTGACATTGCAATATTTCTCTAATACTATGAAACATAATTTTGTAAACCTTTTAATACATTTTCCTATAAAGTTCCAGTTTTCAGACTTTTTTCAATTGAATCACATTAGAAAATTTTGAAAAGTAATCCCCTTTCCTTTTCATAATTTCATTAAAAACATCTTAAACTACAGCCCTAAAAATCTGGTCAAATTCTTGCTATTTGTTAAAACATTTTGACAGTGAAAACATCTCAATACAAATGTATGGAAGACAACAAATAAACTGCTGTTCCCCACTGAATTCTTTAACTGCTTAAATGTCTATAAGTATGGTAACAAAAACAAGCAAACACACAGAAATATATTTTACTGACCTATATAACATCTTCAGCAAATGTCTTTCAATTAATAACTATAGAAAACCAAATTATTTTCACAGATACTTTTTTAGGGCTATCCTATATGAGGCAATTTTGCAGCGATTTGTAATAAAGATTTTCTAGTTTTGTTCATGTATTCATGTACAAAACCATGAAGTATCCTTATTTCCAAAAGTAGAACCAACATATCGATGAAGACCCTGAAACTTTAACACCCCAGGAGAGATGATTCCAGAATATACAACTGCTTTAGTTACTATAGTTACTGTTGTTTACATCAAAGTTAAGAACAAGGAAGTAGTATAATAATTTACCAATAATAAAGCTCTCATATTTTGATTGCATGTGAATTTAACACATAGCAAATTATTTAATGAACACTCAAAGGGATAAGAGAGTTTAACATTTTTCGTTTATCAGTTTTCAAGATTTATTAGTCATCATTATTGATATTGAATTAAATTGGTTTATTCTTTAATAATTATTGGAAAAAATGTTCATATATTGACCAAATTCCATCATAAACTAATTAAGTTCTTTGATATATCTGTTATCACACAGTATTGTGTTTCATGGTTGTTCTTTTTGTGCATTTAAAACTTTTTCTTTGTACATGTAGTAAAACAATATGGTAAGGTTTGAGAACTTAAAAATCTAAAATCCTGTAATCAACCCTGTTACATGTTTGTGTACCTGTCTCAAGGCAGGATTCTTGTCAATAGTTACATGTACTGCTGCCACTTCATGCAGTTTTGTCTATTGAGAAATTTGGTATTGGCATCTGACATTTGGTTGCCTGTTATTTTATTCAGCACTTTAGACTTGCCATATAAAAGGTATGGTACAGGAGTCCAGTCTAATGTTGGAGCGCATATTGTGCATATAGTTATTTCCAGATGTTTATTTTGGTTTACCTGTGTCTTTGACATTTACCCAAAATTTATTCTAATTTATATCGTTAGAATTCTCCTACCCCAAAATATTAAGAAAATTAAATCTAGAAATACCCTGCATACTTATATATATATATATTTATACTACTGATTTGTTTTTCTGAACTTAACTGAAAACATTTTTTTTAAATACCTGTGCAGGATGTGCTCGTTTGCGTTTAGTGGTACTTGCTGCCCCAGCTGAAGTGCTCCTGGCATGGTCTGCACTGGTGTGACGACATCCATAACCTGACGATTTTGGCTTCTGAACTTCTTCTTGCGTAGATACTTTTACAGGTTTCTCATCTTGAACTTGTGTCCGTTTTCTGTTGAAAAAATAGACAGTAAATACAGTATATTACCTGGATATAAAAATGAATAATCTTTAATTAATAATTTGTGTAAATCAAACACGTATCTTATTGGGAAAAACCATTCAGTTAAGACCAGTTTTCAACAATAATTTTTCTCTTTATTGAAAAACAGAGCATTCATTAATAATTATTAAACTGCAAAAGTAGTTGATGCCATAAATAATGCACACTTACATGTTTTTTCTTATTTTAATTCCTATTTTAAGTTATTTTCAACTGTTTTATTGAATTAAAATGCATCATTATGCAACAGCATCTTGTTTTGGCATAGATTTATGAACTTCCTGTTGAGTAAATTGTAATACCTGAATATCTATCACTGTTTAAAATTAAAAAAGTTAACAGGATGCCAGTCTGGAAAATTAATTTAATCAATCTCACTAGCTCTATTGGTCCTGTTATATTGGCTGTATACCATTGTATACATTCAGGACATAGTCATGATAGTGGGCAAATTAATATCAGCATATTTTATACATATATTACATGTATGAGTTACATATGTAGTAGTAAATCACCATCTTGTTTCATAGTAACTCATTCAATATTTATATAAGCAAGAGCCACAGAATAAACTTTTCTGAAACTACTATATTTATTTTTTGTGATTCTTCTATTTCTATTAAAAAAAGCCCTAAAATCACCTTCCTCTTTAAAAATAATGTAAGCTATGCAACTGCACAGTCTTTAAAAAAAAAAACCAATAAGAACCTCGGCCTTCAGTCTCTGATGGATATTCGTCCCATTGGCAATTGTGCCAAGTCTGTGCCAAAAACGTTTATACCTTCATGTACATGTACTAGCTAGAATGCACATTTCAAGATAGTACTTCTGTATGACTAACCAAATTTTGAAAATTTTCACTAGCAGAACCAATTTTTTCTTGTTGCAGGCTTAGGGCGTCAGTTATATATGGATCAGATAATGTATTATATCTCATTATTTGTATACTTAAGGTCTGTTTATCACAGAGTATCCCCTAATAATGGATATTGCTTTAAACTGGTACCACGGACTGTTTAAGCACATGTAGCTACAGTCAATTTACTGTACAGTAATTGCTGCTCAGTAATTAAACCATAAAGGTAGTTGCATATTGGGACGAGAACATGTTAATGTGATATAAAAATAAACCCTGCATTGTACTAGCCCACACCCACAATTTTTTTATTCTTTGCAGTAACTCCTAAATGCTGAATGCTTAGCAGGGAAGCAGCAAATACAACATTTCAAGTCTTAGGTTTGACCCAGCTAGGGTTCAAACCCACAACATAACAAACCTGAGGTGAGCATGCTACCACGAGACCAATGAGGAAGTTTTTTCATCTGAAACTTGTACTATAAACAGGCCTCTACAATAACTTTTTTTTCAACTTGTCCAGTAGGACAAGTACATACCAAAACTTACTTGTCCGAATGAAATTGTAACTTGTCCAAAAAAAATCTTAATAATAACCTTTTATGCATTTTAAGTTGATTCAAGGAGCAAAATGAATTAAAACAATAGAACAGAATTTGATTTATATCTTTTGAAATACTTTTCAAAAATATGAGTTGAGAACAACTGAATCTAGTCATGTCACAGGACTTATGTTCTAGCTTTCTTCAATGCCAAAGTCTGATCAGACTCTGCACATGAGACACCGTCTGATAGGCCTGTCAATGTACACTCATTGGATTTGTATCTTGGTTTTTAAGTTGAAAAAAGTTTTTCAAATGCAATCAATAAAAAAAAAAATGAGGTATGATTGCCAATGAGACAACTCTCTGCAAGAGACCAAATGACACAGAAATTAACAACTATATGTCACTGTATTGCAAGTATTGTTTTTTTCTACATATGATCAAATATGATTTTGTGAATTTTATGGTATATAATTTCTTCATTTTTATTTAAAAAATATTATTTGTTAAAAAAATTACCGGTATGGTATTTATAATAAAGCAAGGATTTGTATAGTGAGAATCCTTAAATAAAGCAACAGAATAAGGTCGGAAAACGAGGTACTGATTTGTCTTGGTCCCGAAATGTCTCCTGCATTGCCAAACTGTCTATTAATCATGTCTATTAAATATGTCTCCTACAGTGCCAAACTGTCTATTAAATTTGGAGCCGAATCATTTCAGAGCTGGTGACGAACTGTCTTGAAAAGTTACCTTATCTACAAAGCACATCACTGATTCGGATCAGTAAGACAGGTTTCCCAGAAAAGTATGCCTTTAACCTCTTAAAAAGTACCTGACAAAGAACCAGTTTTAAAGTATCGATTGCAAGTAAACATGTCAAATTAAAACTTGTTTTTATCTTCTTTTCTTGTTTTTTGTTTATAATTACTTTGTTCATCAAAGTTGGATTAAATTTATTTTCTGCAGAATAATTTTACTTGTCCCGTCGGACAAGCTTGATATATCTTTTACTTGTCCGAACTTTTTTTCCTCTGGTACCGGACAATCGGACAAGCGTTATTGTCGAGGCCTGTATAAAGGAACTTCTATTCCCAGGGCTCTCACCAAGGATTTTTGAAGGAGAGTCCCAGGACTCATCATTTTTGGCCTTGACGAGTCCAACAGTGAGAAGAAGAAAATTTTTCTGTTTTTTAATTCTTATTTAGGGTTCCATGACAAAAAAGAGATAGAAAAGAACATCACATTAAAAGTAATTTTAATTTTTTGCCATAAAATGATGATTTGCTGCGCTCAGTTGATACAAAATATTACAATCTTGATGCATCTTTGGACTTTCCAGTTTTGAAAATAATAAGTCCAGACATATTTTCATGAGTCCAGGACTCATGGACTTGCCTAAATGAGAACCCTGTATTCCACAACAAGGTGCTAGGTACAAGCAATATCTAGTGTATTGGATACAGTGTATATTGAGAAAATTTATTGAGGAATTATATAAAATTACGGTAACTGAGTAACAGTTAGTTCCTTTAATTCATTATTGTTATATAGTCAAGATATCACTGGATTTGAAGAATGAAGTAAAAATTCCCAACTACCTTATTGATAAACACACTTGCATACTGTACATTCATAATCTTTAAAAAATTTATTAGCCATCCAAATTAAAAACATAAGCAATGCAAACTGATGAGTAAGAACTAATTTGTTTGAAATATGTACTACTTTCCAGTATGTTTTTTTTTTAACCTGGCCCGATTTGGTGGTGTTACATCTTACAAAGTCTATTCAAATCATTTTTGAAAAGAATTCTGCTCTAGCCAGTGTTGAAGGCCTCAGTGTGATTTTGGGATGAAGAACAGAAATTAAAGCGCTGTCCCTTTGCTTTTTCTGTTTTTTGCTATGCATGTACTGATTTTGTGTCATGGATGGAATCAGGATACCCCATATCCTTTGTTTTTCTATGAAATGTATTTGCTATCTTTTTGTGCATTTTTGCAAAAATTGCTCTGTCATATTTACAACATCTATATATACCGGTAATATACATTATCTGTACTGGTGTCCCTCTCAAAATAATGTCTTTTTCATACTTTGTTGCAGATGTTAACAAACTGGACTGGTGTTTCTTTCCAAACAATACTGTACTTAAAGTCTTTAAATTAGCTCATGTTTGGAACATTGGCTTTTATTACATAGGATGTCTATTTCATGTGCTCAAGATGACTGTTGTTACTTTAAATAGATTTAATTAACGTGTAAGCAGTTGGATCTTTCATTTTCTTATTTTCTTCATTCCTTTTTTTCCTGTGTACAAGCTTTAGTAACCATGTAACCTCAAGTTTCCAAAATATTCTATAGAAACACCAAATAAAAAAATAATGGTGCTTTGAAACACCCAAGATATATGTTTATGACTCAGAAATTGTGATGACTGTCATACAAGTGAGAGGTTTAGCGCTATAAAACCAGGTTCAATCCACCATTTTCTATATTTGAAAATGCCTATACCAAGTCAGGAATATGACAGTTGTTGTCCATTCGTTTGATGTGTTTTATCATTTGATTTTGCCATTTGATTAGGGACTTTGTTTTGAATTTTCCTCGGAGTTCAGTATTTTTGTGATTTTACTTTTTACTGCTATGAAATGTAGGATTATTTTCCTACAACTGTCAAATTCAAGGGAATATTTTTTTTGACCCTTTTTTGTATGCAACTGGATGTGACGTACTATGATTTGGTGGTATTACACCTACATGTAACATGCACTAAGCAGAAAGTTCTACAACGTTGGTAGGAAATATGGACAGTGATGTGAAAATGAGGGTATTCTGGAGAGGGACAGAAATTCAAATAGCAAACATGCAACCTAGAGGCCTATCAAAGAGTTGTAGGAATAGTTCTTTAACATGCAGAGAGCTAGGTACTTTTCACATACATGTATGAGGCATATAGGTAAATTTTAGGACAAATTTCATTCAATAACTCAGCAGAAATTTAATGATTAATCTAGTCATTATTCTACCTGAATATCTTTGATGTCCTGTGTATAAAAGAAAAGAAAGGATATGGATTATCCATTCATGACACAATACCAGTATGTGCACAGCAAAGGAACAGCTCTTTTATTGCTGTTCTTCATCTCAAAGTAACAGTAAGGCCTTCAACACAGAACAAAAATAACTTTCACCTCACTACAAGTTTAAGATGGCCCCTGAGTGGAATAAACATACATTGTAGTCTTGCATGATCGGTCTTACAAAGTTACATCTGTATCAGCCTCGCTTCAATCCCATGACCCATAGACCTGTAAGCTAATGCTCTTCCAACAGAGCTAAAGAAGTACTACAGTAGCACAGCTGATAGACATATTTACACTTTTGAATATTTAGCTGAATTCGCTTTGAAATAACCCTAGATTTGTCTATGAATAACCTTCTGACATCATGCAACAATCACTTTAAATTTTGACATCAAATTTTTCAAATTTTGTAGCTTCAAGTGTATATTTTGCAGGAACTTGTGTGATTTTTAGAAATTGCAGACAAATATGCAAACATGTGTAAATATGTCTATGGAAAAAGCTTATATAGCATATCCAATTCTGGTAATTTCATTCCTTTGATAAGTTGACAAATAGACCTATTTTCACTTTTGGGTATTAAGCCAAATTTCCTCTAAATGATCTTTAAGATATGTCTCTGAAAAACCTTCTGGCGTCATGCAACAAACTTTTCAATTAAATGTTTTAAATTGTAATGCAAAATTTTATGGGAACTTGTTTAACTTTAAGTATTATATTGCGAACAAGTTTGCATAAATGTGTAAATATGTCTATAGCAATAAGTTGAATAATGGGCTGCTCTGTGAAGTCTTGTGAATCTTAGCACCCTCATAATTTGCACACTGCCTTAAAATATAATGCAGAGGTCTGATTTTGACACAGGCACTCGTTTCTATCCATTGGGAGGTCCACTAACCATATATGTGAAAGTGAATCAGTTTGCATTAGGGGAGAATAGTCAGCCAAAATGGACACAGGGGGCTGTGCCCCCGTGACGAGGACAGTGCAGGGATATTACCAGTATCCTCGTCTCATGGGTTTTCGTGCTATTAAGAATGCATTGTGAACTCACAATTTCCATTGAAAAAGCATGCATAGTACGAATTCATATGACAACGAGAACATATGATCTAATCATACATGAAATTGAAAGAACTATATAATATAGAAGTCAAACTTGTCTTGTGTGTATTGAACAGTGTTCGTATGTGCTACATAAATTCGAATTATTGTCATTTGTAACCTTTAGATGACCAAAAACTAATTGGCGCGTGCATTATAATATTTTTCATCGATTTTGATTATCGATGCATGCCACGACCTTCATTGCCAATGTAAACAACTTACACAGAAGCTTTTGGGTCATATTCCGGGACATATTCTTTAAGAACTGCTGGTAGAGTTGTCGACCGAGTTTCTGATTTCTTCATCTTCGTTAATTTGTCTCAGCCATCGCTACTTTCTCTTTTCATACCTGTAGTATAGGGCACCTTGCCAAGGTCCCCACGTTTGTCAATATTTTGTTTGTCATGTGATTCTCTTCTGAACGGCCATGGAAACTTCCTATCACGTGATTTACATAACATTTTCCCGCCAATCTTATAAAGCAATCTTTGAGTTATAATCTTTCAATGATCTTCAATCTTATACAAAAAAATTATAACAAAAGGCTGGCTCCGACTCAAATGGTGCAATATATCTCATGCTTTTGCATGCGTTCTTTTTCAACGGTTAATTTATCCATGAAGAGGCTCTGATAGCAAGGAATTGTATATTTAAATATACAATTCCTTGCTGATAGCAGAGACATATAATGTTGTATTATATGTCTCTGCTGATACAACTTACTGCTAAAAAAATCGTAAGATTTTATTCTAATGCATACAGGTAGTAGCATTAGCCTGTCACTGATTTTAAAAGTTATTTCAACATGAACTACATGTTTTTGTATGATTTCTTTGCAACAAATGGATGCTCAATATTTTTATTTTTATTTCTTTTTACCGTTGACATTCTTACTTTGTTTCAGTCACTTTGACTGACTGATGAATATTTTTAAACGATTATATCTGGGACTATTGTTCTAGTATAATAGTCCCAGATTATATGATCTTATATGTATCTCAAATACTGTAACTGTTATCTTATTTAACTATATAACTGAGACTACTATAACGTTATAGTAGTCTCAGTATATAAGTAATAATTTGATTCTTTTATGTCACAGTTGACAATGCACATTTTCGTAGTACTTTTCAGAAGTAAATATTAAAATTCACTCTTTACAAAGAACCGGCAAAATAACAAATTCACTATATTGCCGGCGCCGGCAAATTATCCATTGCTATAGAAATATGCTATTTTGCCGGCTTTTATTAAGATATTTTGATCAGAGCCGGAAGAATAGCATATTTCTCTATTTTGCCGGCGACGGCGAAATAGCCACTGCCTCTCTTATAATGAATCAAAATGCCGACATTTATTCATCTAGGCAAAACCTTTATCTATAGGATGAAAGGGGGTGGTAAACTGAGGTGGGAGGGGGGGGGGGGTGAAAAAAACTTGAAATATAACATAATTTCACGTGAACGTGAAATAATTTCTGTCATGAACGTTGCACGATAATCGAAAAAAAGAGACTGATGTGAACCTTTTGTGTCTTCCTGCAGTGGCGGATCCAGGGGGGGGGGGGGGGGGGGGGTCCGGGGGTTGGAACCCGGCCCCCCTTTATTTTTGACGATCAATGCTTTTGAATGGGGATCTATGGTTGGACCCCCCCCCCCCCCTTATCCTGGGTTGGAACCCCCCGTTTAAAAATGGCTGGATCCGCCACTGTCCTCTATATATGAGGGTATGGCTGGGGGTCCTTCATTTCTGTATTCTTTATTTTTTCGCACATTATTCTTTGTCTTTAAAAGTACTGGCTATTCTGTAATTACTTGATACCTGTATTCTGGACATTGTTCTCTTCTGTAATCAGTATATTTTTACCTAATTCTTTAATTTTTGCAGTAATTCTTTATATTTCATTTTCTATTCTTTATTTTTTTTGTCCATTATTCCCTATCATCTGTAAACCCCACCCACACCCTCATATATGAACTCTCTGTTTTACTTGATATTCCCGATTTAGTATACACATTTGTTTTACTTGATATTCCCGATTTAGTATACACATTTATGATATAAATGGTTTACGGCTTTTAAAAAAAGTATATAACGATCTTCTGAACTTTTAAAATGCAAATATCTCGCAGACACGAAAGTGTATTCTTGATCTATTTCATGTTCTTTATTAACAAGAATACACACATGTCATGCTAGCCATGCCATCAGCTACCATGACTCGTGGTTCAAAGTATCAGAAATAGGAAGTTTGAACTAACAGATGATAAAAAGTGCAAACACTTCTGGCATCGCATTGATAACTTGCCAGAGTAATCATCATGTTGAATATGGGCAGTGTTTGGAAGAAGAAGAAGAAACCTCATCACTTTTAAGATGTCGGTCCTATTTATAAAAAGTCATTCTTTTCGTTTTACCCAAAAAAATCAAAGAATCGTCAACGAGGAAGCATGTATCAAGGAGATCCGAAAAGTATTCACAAGTTAAAAACATATCAGATTTTAACTTAATATGAAGACATTTTATTTAAAAAATACCGAGCACGCAAAATAAGCATTTGAAAATCACGATGCACGTAAAATTAAATAAGCAAAACACGCTGAACGAGGCACCTGTCTTGCACGACTGAACGTCAAATATAAAAGTAAAAAACAGCGATCACGCTGCACGAAAATAACCATTTACCACCCTCTGAAATCTGTATCTGTATGAATATGTTGTAGAATCCCTATGTGCTTTATTAAAATGGGGACGGAGAACGCAATCAGTTTCTAGTGCGGCTATATAGGATATTGTGCCCATTTGCATGAAGCCTTCGCAGACCTGGCAACCTCAGTCACGATTTATGGGACCGGGATTTCCCCAATGAGAGGTGTTGACCTGAATTTTGAAATTCTTTCTAATATAATCCAAACATCTAAAAACAGGCATTCAAATGAGTTAAACGGGTATTTAAGCACCTACATACTCATTCAAACAATATAGTAGAAGATTAAAAACACTTATGACAATAACAGAGGAGAATTGTGTCCTCTTGCTCTTAAAATCCCCCATGGAGATTTTGAAAAATTGGCAGGTATGCCTTCGCTTGACTTTGCTGTAACTATGCTTCAAAATTCATTAATCAAAAGTTTATTCATATATATTCATCAATGTCTAAAGTATTGGTAAGGTTCGCTGTTCTCACTCGCCAAAATTTTTATACATTGTGGCTCGCGGCTGATATTTTAACGCAATCAATGTGTAGAAAATGCGATAATCTATATTTATTATGTAAATAGATCAGAACACGGTTTTTAAAGACATCTTAACAGAAGAAGAACATTTATGACCACTTGGCATATAAATTTCTACCCATTGGTATGTTACCTCCATGCAATTACATCCCATACATTACCTTGTATCGTTTCTTTTGTTGACTAGAATATATTTGACAATAAAACAAAAGTGACTCATACCAGCGGCACGTTCATGTATAGCTTTATATAGGAAGAGACACTCCCGTGTAGTCATGATGACAACAACACTGTCTCTTATGCAAATAGGGATATAAAACACAATCATTTTTACACTTAAAAGGACCGTTTGACTGGTTGTCTTCAAACCAAATAAAGGCAAACCTGGAAAAAAACCAAGCTTTGGCAATTAGTAAAAAAAAACAACAATGGACATGAAAACAATATTACATATGACCTGACAGGTAACAAAATAAAATGTGAAAAAAAGAGGAAAAACTCTTGGACATCACTGATTTTTTAAAACTTTGAGCTGTTTAGATGATTTTTGGTAGATGTTGGAGACACGTGTGTTGAAACTAAATTTCAACACACGTGTCTCCAACATCTGCCAAAAAATAATCTAAACAGCTTAAAGTTTTAAAAAGATTTAGCAAATACTTAAACAAACTGGGAAAATTACAATATACCCACTCTATCAGTATGTCTTACTTTAATTTCTGTCCACTATCCTGTCATTTCTGCAGCTAGACAGAAATTGAAAAAGTACAAGAAAGAGTACTCCGTTTCATCGACAAGGATAAGAATAACATATATGATGATTTACTATCAAAATAAAAACTACCGTCTCTTCAAGTAAGACGTCTTAGAACTATGTCAATAGAGGTATTTAGAACTATGAATTAGGAAAATCCTATATACCTACATAATTTGATAAACATTAAAGAAACACAATATAATTATATTCTTCCAGATATAAAAAATATGCTGAAATTCCTACTGTTCAAACTACAAGATAAAATAAGGAGACGTTTTATGATTGCCAATGAGACATTTTTCCAGCAGAGTCCAAATGACTTTGGTTTATTCAATTATATGTCACCGTTATAACTTCTAAAATGAGCAAAACAGACACCGTATAGTCAGCTATAAAAGGCCCCGACATGACAAAATGTGAAACAATTCAAAAGAAGAAACCAACGGTCTGATTTATGACAACATAATAAACGAAAACAGATTTAACAAACAGCGACCAACAACAACCACTGAATTATACGCTCCTGACTTGGGACAAGCTCACACAAAATGTGGCGGGGTTGAACATGTTTGTGAGTGCTCAACCAACCCCTTACTCGGGACAATGGTGTAATTACAACATAAGAACAAACTGTAAAAATCAGTTGTAAATGGCTTGACACACCAGATCGGCACGAAGTACAAAAACAACTAACATAAAGACAATTTACACAAAGTACAGATCTGAGAGTACTCGCATTTACTGAAAACTAGTTCAAAGCCAATAACAACTAATAGATAAATCATGTTCTCCCAGACTTAAGTATCAATCGGTACACGTCCAGGTATGGCTTGCAATCCATCAGATATTCTGCAGCCAAACTACGGAACGAGTTGCCAAACCATTTAAGAACCGAAGCATTATGTACTCAATTTAAAAGTTTAATGCAAAAGAATGGATTTGCATGAAATATTAAAGTTTTATATGTCTTTTATTCTTTGATATCAGTATTGTGTTTACATTATGTATGTCTTGCCGTGAGTATTTGTTGGTTATAAAACACCAGGAGAGCTTATAATGTTAATGTTATGTGACATATATATATACCGACTTCTAATAAATCTTTTGATCGGAAAACTGTATTACCATCTTAAAGTATAATTACTTATTTAGTTTCCTAATACCGACCCATTTTCTGAGATAACATTTATGTTGTGCTATACCTTAAATTCCCTCTATCCCAATTTTCTTTCAAAAAATGTGCACAACACACCTACTTATTAGGTGATGAATGATGCTACAAAATGTTGAAATAGTTTGTAACTTAACACGAATAACCATGCAGGTATAGTCATTTGCATTACCGAATGTTAACACAAACTTTGATTTAGAATTAAGGTATATAGTGACCCCAGCCGCCTTCAAATACATGTATATATAAAAATAATGTGATATGATTGCCAACGAGACAACTATCCACCAAAGTTCAAATAAAGTGGATGTATGCAATTACAGGCAATCATACGGCTTTCAACAATGAGGAAAAACCCATACCGTATATAAATGGCACCGACATGAAAATTATGAAATTGAATTCAATTGAGAAAACATAACAAAACAGTAATGATAAACATGAACCTACGACAACCACTGAATTACACATGTTTGCTGGAGTCAACCCCCCCTAAACCCGGAACAGTGCATCTATTTGATGATATGTCTGAATATGAACAGTAAAGATCTAGTGTTAATCAGATTGAGCTTTAAATAGGAAATCTAACAATGGAGTTGTATCCAATTATTTTTCTATCTTAAAAAACGGTTTCACAGGCATAATAAAATTGAGAATGGAAATGGGGAATGTGTCAAAGAGACAACGACCCGACCATAGAGCAGACAACAGCCGAAGGCCACCAATGGGTCTTCAATGCAGCGAGAAACTCCCGCACCCGGAGGCGTCCTTCAGCTGGCCCCTAGACAAATATGTATACTAGTTCAGTGATAATGGACGTCATACTAAACTCCAAATTATACACAGGAAACTAAAATTAAAAATGATACAAGACTAACAAAGGCCAGAGGCTCCTGACTTGGGACAGGCGCAAAAATGCTGCGGGGTTAAACATGTTTTTTGAGATCTCAACCCTCCCCCTATACCTCTAGCCAATGTAGTAAAAACAAACGCACAACAGTACGCACAGTAAAACTCAGTATAAGAGAAGTCCGAGTCCGATGTCAGAATAGGAAACAAAAGAAAATAAACAAAATGACAATAATACATAAATAACAACAGACTACTAGCAGTTACTGACATGCCAGCTCCAGACCTCAATTAAACTGATTGAAAGATTATGTATTTTTACAAAAAAAAAATATAAACGGTGCACATTTTATTATGCCATTTTCGCGTATTTCGTCAAACGGCGTTCCTTGAGTAATGCTAGAAGCAAAAATATTTGTAAATCTATGACCTAGACTGGTTTTGTCTATTCTGTTAATGTGCCTGTTGGTTACTAGTAAATATAGTTTCTCAATTTTTTTTTAAAGAACCCGGCTTTCAAATTTTCGGATTTGAGCATTCCTGATGGAGGTCAATCCAGGAAATCGACACTGGTTCATTTTCTAAAACCTAATACGTTTAAACATTGGAGAGTTCATAAAACCGAAAAGTATTAAATGGTCAATAAATCAGACCAGACGATTTGACCATTAGCTACGCAAACAATCATGATAGAAAGAGTTAGACATGGTTCATTAAGGCTCTAGTTTTTAAATATGTGTTCTCGTTTTGACGACTTTATTTGGCCATTACATTAAATTAAAAAAAAAAAACGAAAAGTATTGCAAATGGTTATTAGGCCAAACCTTATCAAGGAATCAGGACAATGCTAGACGATTTGACCATAAACTAAACAAACAAGCATGATAGCGACACATGCTTCATTGAGGCTCCTGTCATAAACATGTTTACATTTTGGCAAATTTAATTGGGCATTTCATTCAATTAAAAAGAAAAAACGAAAAGTACAGCAAATGGTTATTAAGCTACACCTGGTCAAGAAACCAAGGCAAAATCTACGATTTGAACCGAAACTACCCAAACAAGCATGATATAGGCACAATACGATGTAGATTTTCAATATCACATCCGTATCAACCCGAGCACCGATCTAATCCCGAGAACTCTACTCAATGGCTCATATTGGTTGAGAGTTGAAAGGACGTTTGATATTGAAAGAAAAACATTCCATAAACACTTTATTTTATACTGAAAACAAGTTATTCTCACGACATGACGTTATACAGATTTTTTGGTTTTAATAAATCCTGTGCAACAGTGACATATATCCATATCATTACGATTGCCTTGTGGCTGGTCTATAATTTCCATTGATTGTATCACACATAAAATTTACCCGTATTTACTACTTAGTATATGCTAAATATGTATATAGCATGTATTTGTTTTAAACCAAAAATGACGACAACGTATTGGTATTTTTACATCAAACGGAAGTGATCATTTGCCCGAAGGAATTGATGCAACAACATTTGACGATAGTTGACCCTTGTTCTGTCATTTATCAGGTGGGAATATTCAATTTTGGTTAGAAAATATCTGAAAATTTGTCAAATGTTTATGGAAATGTCGAGAATTCGTTTGGTAAGTATCATTAACTCTTTTTTTTTCAAAATTTCATTTAGTTTAATATATTTCAAATCTTATTGAAACGCGTGTCCATTTACTTTCATTTAATTTAACCGTTTTATCATTATAATGATTTTTCTTTTCTTTTTTTGTATAAGCATTGCTTTTTATATGTTTTGATTGTGCTGCGATGAAACTTCCAAACGCCAATTAATTTATTCTCTGTAAATGATTAGATGCAAATTTATTCATGGACAAACAAACAAATACAATCGCATGTTAAAAATAAAAAATCAATAATAATGAAATAATAATAAAAAAAAAGATAAACTAGAGGAAAATCAACACAAAAGATGAAAATAAAGTTGAATATATAAAGTAGTTTATTCATTAATTCACAGTAGTCTTAGATTAAATGTAATGATATTTCTGTCGCATCGTTCATCGTTTTGTCAGTATGTGTTCGTTTTATATAGATAGGCACTTTCACTACAATAGTGAAATTGAGCTGCCCAAACCGTCTATTGTTAAGTCTTTTACCATGAAATTCAACCTTACAGCGGACAAAGTATATACGATCATATATCCTTTTTATAGATGAACTATATTGGGTAAATACGACTGTGTATAGGACAACCCTGTCGAATACCATAGACATTTTAAGTTGTGTGTGACTTTTATATGAAATCGGTTTTAAACAGCTTAAGTTCATGACAAATTTTGTATTTCAGATTGTTCTTGTCTCGTGCCAAATATTTTGTCTTGTTCAAAGTCTTAATACACTTGATGGAATATTTACTGGTACATTTTTGGATACTATCGCAAAGTCGCGGACAAATCCAGAAAAGACAGGATGTGACAGTAAGGAAATTATTATATGTGTTTATACCTTCAGAACACTCATTCAAGTATAATTCCCTATTTTTTTCCTTTATACCTTATCTGCAAACCCTATTCAGACCCTCATGTGAAGTAAAAAATAAAAACTGGAAATTAAAGTAGTCCTGTCCTTTCTATACAGACAAATAACATATATATGTAAGAAATTGTGAAATTGGAAAATATAAACGGCACTTCTCTGCAAATGAAAACTCATCAAGGCAAATCAAATTTCAGACAATAACTTTCAACAGGCACTTTTATTGTTATCGTATAAATTGCTATAATTAAAAAGTAAATACAAAATTTAGTAATGGTGAAATAATTCCATTTTTTGTTTTATTACAGAACAAACTGCTAACCAATCGAATCCTTACTTTTTTGGCACTACGGACCTCAAATGTCTTAATATAGAAGCAAAATTGCGAACAAAAGGTTATGATTTGCAAGATATTCAGGATCTCCGAGAGAAATTTCCACGTCTCATTGGTAAAAGATCTGTTGGGGAGAAAAATAAAACACAATCATCTGAGCCTCGGAATCAGTCACCATACAGAAGCACGTTACGCATTGTACATAGATGGATATTCTACGACGGGTACTTTATTGAATTCGGTGCTGGAAGCGGAAATATTGGCAACTATCAAGATGTTGGCAATAAGACAATATATTCTGCCCTAAACGGAAATGGCGGGAAAACAGATTCGAAATTTGATGAAAATAGCTTGTCCAATGCTAATATGCAAACAGTGTACCCCAAAAATGGGGATATATGTTCTGCCAAAATGGAGAGTGAAATAGCTGGGTATAGTTCCGTGCCATTGGAATGTTTATACAAATGTGCTAGAAGTTTCGTCTCCAAGTTTGGAAAGTATCATTTGATTAAAAATAACTGTCATCGTTTTGCTAATATATTATCAAATATTTTATGTACGGGAATTTGTCCTGAATGGTGCAAGTGACAACTTTTATTTGAGGATGATAAACGTTATTGTGATATTTTATATATACATACATATCCTGGAAATATGTGTCTTTGATTAAACAAATAAGACTGTGATATTTGATAAAACATATAAATAAGAAGATGTGGTATGAGTGCCAATGAGACAACAATCCATCCAAGTCACAATGTGTAAAAAGTGAACAATTATAGGTCAAAGTACGGCCTTCAATACGGAGCTTTGGCTCACACCGAACAGCAAGCTATAAAGGGCCCCAAAAAGACTAGTGTAAAACAATTCAAACAGGAAAACCAACGGTCTTATCTATATAAAAAACTAGAAACGAGGAACACTTATGAACCACACCAACAAACGACAACCACTGAACAACAGGCTCCTGACTTAGGACAGGTGCATGAAATGCAGCAGGTTTAAACGTTTTAACAGGCGCCAACCTTCACCATAACCTGAAACAGTGGTATAACATTACAACATAAAAAGGCACATAATAAAATATCAATTGAAATGACTTAACTCGATCAAAAAGACAATACACAAAAAAAACAAGAAAATATACACTGAACGAATAAGTTTGATCTATGACACAATATAAATAAAAAAGATGTTTCAATGTCAAAAAGACAACTTTAACCTGGAACAAAATTGCGTTAAATAAAGTAACGTACACAGGTAAATTTAAATATAATATATTTATATATATATATATATATATAAATTAAATGCATTACAACATGTACAAATTGTGTCAACATGTCAAATTAACACGAAAGTGCGATTTGAGAGTACCCGCAGTTACTGAACGCTAGTTAAAAGCCAAAAACAATTAATAATAAAAAATCATGCATCAGAGACTAAAATCAATCAAAACACATCCCAGGCAGGGATTTAGTGTTTTAATGCCATGGACAGTCAAAGAAGACATGACTTGTGATACTTATTTCAAACGGGTTAGCACATCCTAATTGTTACGGTGATGTTGTTTACCGAGCCCGGAAATTTAGATACGACCCGGGTAAACTTATCGATCCTTTAAATAAACTTATTCTAAATGGTTACCAATTCAACGCTGTAATTAGATCTTTGAATATTGTTTTTTTATTGGTATTTATATTGATTTTGTTATCAATAAATTAAAATCTAACTAAATATTATTTTTATATACATGTATGCACATCCATGGCTCTACAATCTGTCAATACCTGTATCTTGACATTGCAGAAAGTCGTGTTTTCTCTGACTGTTAATGACTTCTTTACACTAAATCCATTGCATGTTGGATGTGTACTGATTAATATTCAACTTAGTCTTAGATGCATGTTTTTTTTATTAGTTGTTATTGGCTTTGGACTAGCTGTCAGTAACTGTGAGTACTCTCAGATCTGTACTTGTGGGGATGTATAAGTACCCTGTCACGTCAAGTCTGTGTTTTTGTTAGATGTATTTCTGCTTTGTATCTATCTGATGAGTTAAGTAAGCCCTTTTCAACTGATTTTTATAGTTTGTTCTTATGTTGCACTGTTACACCACTGTCCCAGGTTATGGAGAGGGTTGGCGCCTTCAAACTAGTTTAACCCCGCCACATTCTGTATGTGCCTGTCCCAAGTCGGGAGCCTGTAATTCAGTGGTTGTCTTTTGTTGCTGTATATCATAGTTGTTTTTTGTTCATTATATTGAACATAAATCAGTCCCTTAGTTTTCTCGTTTGAATTGTTTTACATTTGCCATTTCGGGGCCTTTTATGGCTGACTTTGCGCTCATTGTTGAAGACCGTACGGTGACCTGTAGTTGTTAACTTTTATGTCATTTGGTCTCTTGTGTAGAGTTGTCTCATTGGCAATTATACCACATCTTCTTATTTTTATATATACATATTAATTATTAGTTATATTTTCCCTAACATTTAATCAACACAAAACGCTAATTTGGAATGATTCCTCTGTACTATAGTATCTTAATTTGATCATACTTAAGGGTTCTTTAATTGCAGGGATTTTGCAGTCTCCGAATGTTATTCGTCTAAGTCCGGCGAATCAAAAGTAAAAAAAAATGTATCATAACTAATATATTGAGCTTTCAAAACGACTATGATCCATAAAAATCCGTATTTAATTTCACAAGTAAGTGGACACCACTTAAATAACAACCATGGATGCATTGGTCATCCTTTTGTTATGGTTGAACTTTGAATGGCTATAGAGCTCCCACTCCACTGCATGGAATTTTAATGTTCTGTATTAGATATGCATTTCAAAGCATTGCCGAACCAAACCTTTTCACATTTCCATAGGTATCAAATAAGCAAACATTAACAATGTTACTGCTATAAGCTGTCTTGGACGTTTCATTCGCGGGAGGATCTATTGTTGTGAGGCAGTTTCCTTTTTGGTAATTGTATGGTATTGGTATGGGCTCGATACCATAGTACTTCAGAAATCAGTTACTGATTAATCCCTTCTTTGTTAGTCTATTCTGACACTACTATAATAACACATTTTGTTATAGCGCGAGAAGTCTTAGGTCTATTACAGCTTTAACTTCTTTCTTAGAAAGCGATGTGACACATTATGGTGACATGTATGAGTTGTATTAGAATAAGTGTTTTGTCAATAACATATGATAATTATATTCCGCTGAGTCCCTAGTCATTTCAAATATCCAAAATTTTGTTTTTACGTACGTTATATACGGTTAAGGTTTTTCTCTTTGTCGAAGGCAGAACGGTGGCAGATAAATGCTTACATCTACATCATTTGGACTCCGGTGGATAGTTGTCTCATTGGCAATCATACCCTATTTCCTTATTTTTATGTTGATATTTTACATGTGGTCTGATTGATATACTTGTACAATTATCGATCGTGCTAACGTACGATTGATTCGATCTCCAGTCATGTCAATGTTTGAGAGATATTGGAAGGAATACACTAGTTTCACATTGCATCCCTGATATAATGTCAATGGTAATATACTAGTTTTCTTTAACATTAAGTCTTGAAAAATCTAGAAAGTTGCCTGTATTATCGGTCTGCTTGAATTCACATGCGGTTTTCCTAGAATATACCAAATATCAAAGCAATAGGCATCAGTACCCTTATGCAGCTACTATACTACAAAACCTTTAAGATGATAACCGTTGGTTTACATTCATTCCTCGTGAACTGTTCACTAAACAGGAATAATACCAAATACTTCTGGTTGCATTTATAGGCCTTAACACAGACTGCACATGCACATCTAATATTAGAAAATTAATATTGTACCAAGTTTCATGGAGATACATAAACCATGAAAAAAGATCTGTGGTAAAAAGATGGGCTCTGAACAAAGGCAAAACTATTAAGTTCAAAGGGGCTCTGAAAAAATTCTAGTAGATTAAATCGTCAAATCGCTATGAACATTTAATATTAGGATTTAAACAATGTGTCACGTTTCATGTATGTCCAATAAACCATGTAAAAGGAGCTTTGATGATATTAAAGATAGACTCTAAACAGGTACACAGTGCAAAGGGGCATAACTCTGGATGACTTACTTAACTTAATCCACTTCGTCCCAAGGGGGACATAGGGCAACTACAGTTTCTCTCCATTTCTTCCTGTCCATGGCTGTTCGTTTTGTTTCTTTTCAGGTTGTTCCAATTTTGCTCAGCTCAGCTGTTAGTCCCCTGCGCCAGGTGTTTTTTTGGCCTTCCCCTTTTTCGATGTCCTTGAGGTTTCCATTCTAGGGCTTGCTTGGTAATGTTTGTGTCTTTTTTTCTGAGGGTATGCCCGATCCACTTCACTTTCTTGTTCTTATTATCTGAGTTGTTGGCTGTTGTTTGGTTTTTCTCCATAACGCATTGTTGGATATTTTGTTAGGCCATCTGATGTTGAGGATGTTTCTCAAACATTTATTGGCAAAAGTTTGGAATGATTTGATAGATGCAGCTGTTTCTCTCCAGGTTTCTGATCCGTATAAGAGTACAGATTTGACATTGATGGTAAATATCCTTAACTTTGTGCTAGTTCTTAAAGCATTACTCCTCCAAACAAGTTTAAGCATGGATAATACCTGCTGTGCTTTCTTTTTTCTCGCCGATATGTCTTCGTCTGTGCCTCCTGATGTACTGACAATACTTCCAAGGTAAGTGAATTGTTGTACATCTTCAACAGTAGAGTCGTCGATCTTTTATATAATAAGACAATCTTGCTGGTTTGTATTAAGCCTCATTGATTTAGTTTTCTGTGCGTTGATGTATAGGCCTGTTTGTTTTGCTACTGTTTCAAAACTTTTGGTCTGGTGTTGTGCATCTTGGAAGCGATGGAATAGTGTACAAATGTCATCAGCCAGTTCTAGGTCTTCAAGACGTGTTGTGAGAGTCCATTCAATGCCTTTCGGATCTTTGTAGGCTGATTTACCAACCCAGTCAACTACAATTAGGAAAAGGAGAGGAGAGAGAAGACAACCTTGACGTACCCCAGTTGTAACGGGGAATGGTTAGGTCATAGTTCCACCGTGTATAACTTGACAGGAAAATTGGTCGTATAGCAGTTTTATCTCTGGATAAAAGGACCAAAAATTATCCTATCCGTATACATTGTACATATCTGCATATTAGGACCTAACAAAGTCTCAACTTTCATGTAGTTACAATAAGCTACATAAGAGAATATCTGATGACAAGGAATGTGCTGAGCAAGTCTAAAATGTTCATGTCCAAATAAAGAGTGATAATGTACTGGTAACGGATGCGGACATCTTACCAATGCTCGCCTTAATGTTAGCCAATTATCATGTAAACAGAAATGATCAGCTTAATAATGAGTATATCATACCCACATCTATATCTGCATATCAAGATGGAAAACTGTATGTACCACACATAAATAAAGTTTTACTGACATGTTCAAAAAGATTTTTGTGGAACGTAGAAACATGCTCCTTTGGACTGTAGGAGGTCATGGGTTGATCCCAAGCCAGATCAAAACAGACTTGAAAATTGGTGTTTGCTGCTTCTCAGCTAAGTTCTTGGCATTTAGGAGTAAGAGCAAATCCTGGTTGACTGGGAGTCAGAATAATGTATCTGGGTATTGTCACATGGCTTCCTGCATACAGTTCCCTTGAGAATAAGCTTGTTTAAAAATCTGGGTCAGTATGTCAGTATTATACAACGCAGGGTTCATATTCAAATCCATTAACGTCTTCTTGTCCTGAAATGCATGTTATATTTACCACTGGATGTTTAACACCAACCTATCATTTCATCATCAGCAGCAGCATCATCTATGTTCAAAGGGGCATAACTCTCAAAAACTTGTTTGCACTAAATGATAAAAAAAAAACTCCATCCTGCAGTCATATTTCAACATGATGATCAATTTTTGTGAAATATTTGAGGGATATTGGCAAGGAATATTGAAATTGGTTGACAGACAAATGACATTGATAAACAGAAATTTCCCTCAAACTTTATTTGAAAAAAAACATGTTGATTATTCATGAGGCATTAGAAAGCTAAAGAAAAACAAAGAAATCTGCTTATTATATTTATTTATTTCTTAAAAATTAATATCCATAACATATGAAATATATATTTAAATTATTTCTAACAACCATTATAAAAGAGATAAATTTTCATTAATCTATCCATGACAAAAATCCTTCTAAATAATTTGACCATGATTAACTAAGTCTGCAGATTTCTCAAAGTTAATGCTGGCTTTTTTAGCAAATCTTAAACATATAAAATCAAATCATAAAATGTTTACTTTTATGATTCCTCTGTTCTTGTCAGGTGAAAAAATTTAAATTCTCCAGTGAACTAAACTAATCTTTGTAAATATTTCAACTTCTTACAGGTAGATTTTACTCATCAAATATAACAATGAAAAGTTTGTACATGTATAATCTGTATTGCAAGAAAAAAATACATTTAGAAAAATTTGGATTACCAATAAGAAAATCCATTTAAAAGCAGAATATAATCAACTTAGATGACAAGATCTGTTAAGTTATCTGAACATGTTTGCTGTTTAAACATTGAAAACATTATAATATAAATTCTGGTCATATGTTTACTTTTTCTACGATGATGTTACACCAAGTGTTAAACAACCATTAAAAGTGAATCAATCTATATGCCTGCCGATGGCACTGGGTAATAATGAAAAAATAAAACTGGCATAGTTTTTATGTCTCAATTATGAGTGCTTTTTTCACAGTTATATCTTATTACTGTTATACAGTTTTTACTAAAGAGTGATCAAGTTACATATGTTTGCATTTTATCTTAATCTTTCCTATTGAAGAAAGCTGTTGTTTTTTCGGTATGATTGTCATTCACAATAAATGTCTAACACTTTCATTTTACGTAAAATGGATATTTAAAGAGATATATCACTAGCTTTTTAAATGAACGAAACTTGCTATAAAGGGCAAAAATCTACAACACAACTAAACAGTGTTGGATATGTATATTTTTTCGACAACATAATTATGACAAATTTGATTAGTTAGCACTAACAGAGCAAACTTCCCAATTGTATCTTCTTGATTATCATTTAATTAATAGAGCTGTATTCTTAATTTTATTTGTTTGAATATATTGCATAAATAGAGAAATATTCCTTTTTTAAAATTTGTTAAAAGTTCCTTAAGGTAGAATGCCACTTTTAAACTGAATATATATCCAACTGATGATCTATGGTACTGATTTAATCTATGAGTCAGTATCATGTTTTTTCTCTTAAATTAGCAACCATTTAAATAAAACTGAAAACTGATACAGTTTTCTTGGAAATCACTTCAAAAACCGTCTAATAAAACTGATAGATAATATTGTAGAAATACACCAAGAATTATAACTTGTCAATGAATAAAAAAATATGTGATTAGCCTGAGGAATAAACATCACATAGAAATTAAATGATTTTAACTGCAAATCAACCAATTTTTTTAAACAATTTTGTAAAATAACAAAAAATAAAATGGAGCTTTACTTATTTATCAGTTTATGCTTAACTCATCAACCAGTTAAAAAGATCCCCCCCCCTAAAAAAAAAGATTTATATTTAATAATTTCTCATCATTGTTTTGACATCAAATTTATAAAAAGCAACTTTCAAATAAACCCACCAGTACTTTTACCTCAGAATCATATTCACTACTGTAAAAACTTATTGGTGTCTGCAGTAAAACTCAGATATTCTCCCTTGACAAATAAAGTTTCCAAAAAAATATATGGCATATAATTAGAAGTGTCTGTCAACCTTAAGAAACATATAAATAACAACTGGTTATTCATTGAAATCATTGACAAAAATCTACATTCCTCCTAAACAGACATATTTGATTTCTAAATATTCATTCAGTCCGTATTTACTGCCTTCTGACCCAAGACCAGATTCTTTCCAGCCCCCAAATGGAGCCTCTGTCATTGAAAACAAGCCTTCATTGACACCAATAAGTCCATACTCTAATTTTTCAGCCATCCTCCAGATCTGACTGATATTCTGTGAGAAGAAGTACCCTGAAACAGAAAATAATCATGCCATGACGAATTTTGTGAATAACTTTCAAAGCAGTTGCTGCTTGTTAGTGCAAGGAACACTGCAGAAAATATAATTGCTTTTTCAATATCACATCCGTTTCAACCCAGTGACACCAATATAAATCTGACAGCTCTAGCATTATGACTTTGATTAATTTTGCATTAAGGGTGATATCTTATAAGCAACTACAAAATAAAGGAATGATTTTTGGGGCTGATAATATATCATGCTTAATGATGAAAGTCCACATAAATATAAGTGAGCTTAATTTTAATTTTACGCATGAAAAGCTTTGGTTAAGTTTAGCATTATGGTCCAGATCTTAGCATATACATATCAGTAGATGCAGTTTGGTCAGAATGGCCAACACTAATACCTTCATGATTTACATTTAAAAAAACAGGACAGGGGATAAATTGTTGTTTATGATGACTCCATTTCATTATTTTACTGGTATTGAATCTGTATGATTAAAATTGACATTAAGTTCCATGAGGATAGGGATTTCATATTGTTTCAATTTAGTAGAGTTACTGTAATACTGTCATTTAAACATACAATATGAATGTTAACCCTTCTTCAGAATCTTTGTTTTTAAATAGTTCTTTATTGTAAACAAATATACCTGCTAAACCAGCAGTTGTTGTGTTTGCTATTTTAATAACCTCTTCTTCTGTTTTAAATCTGAAAATGAATGCAGAAGGTATATGGTATATTGAACTATAAACTATAAAAGCTTTTAAAATAGGTAAGAATTGGTTTTTTTTATTGGATGACGATGGCGATGAATTGGTGTTAAACGTCCAGTGGCAAATATTAAATGCATATCAGGATGTGAACAAATAAGAACCCTGCTTTGTACTAGACAGATATGCTGCGCCAGTTTTTTTAACATGCTAGATCACAAGGTAACAGTCGGCAGGAAGATATGTCCCCTATCCTGACACATTTTTCTTTGCTCTTACCCCAAAAGGCCCCATGCTAAGTCGAGAAGCAGCTAACACCTATTTTCAAGTTTTTGCATTTCTCATTGGAGGAGAAAAAATAAGAGTTAAATGTCCATAATACACTATTCTCTTGAAATATGTGTGCTTCTTTTACTCTTCTTCATTTTATATTATATTACAATGAAATAAAATACTCAAAACTTATGGCAAGATCAAGGTAATACCAGCATCCACTTTTAAAATGCTAGATTCAATTCAAAATATCTATAAAAATCCTTTTCCATTCAAGATGGAATAAATAATCTAAATCGTTTTATATATTTCTGTTTTATTCATTATTGAGGTGAATCAAGGGAGGTAATCTCTTCTTCTTGAAATTTATAATGGTTTGATACTGTAAATTCAGAACTTATTGGTATGTTTTTATTTTTTGCGAAAATTGCAACGGTATAGGTTTCACAAACATAACAACTAAAAATTTTAACAGCAATATTAATATTCACCATGACGTGTTTAGTTTTGATATAATTTATTTTTTACCATAATATATTTTCCTTATAACTTTTCAACACTATTTTTTTTTATAAAGATTTTAAATTCCCATACAGAGCACATATTATAGAGTATTTCATATAAGAACTATTGTTATATAACTTATAATTACATTACATGTATATTTCACGAGAATCCATTAGTTTGATTGGCTAACAACAATCGCGCATCATTCAAAAATTAACCTTCATATCAAAATGAATTGGTACATTCATGATGACACGTGCTTCCACAAAAAATTGCACAGGTTAATAAAAGAAAAATAAAAAAAAACTTTTTCACCTGTTCCTATTAGCATAAAAAAGTAATTATGAGAAATGAATGCTTCATTTTGCAATATTATTGGGTTGTAAAAGTGTTGATAGTGCACACATTTTTAGAAAGAAGTGCCTCGGCGCTTCATGCAAAATGTGTTTCGGTCAACACTTTTACACCCCAATAAGATTGCAAAAAGAAGCATTCATTTCTTAAATAACATAACTAAAACCTACTTGTGTACTGCAGCAATAGGACCAAATATTTCCTCTTTGGCACATTTCATGTCTAAGGTAACATCCTGTAGAAGTGTTGGTGCATAAAAGTTACCTCCCTTTTTCTGACCTCCCAGCACCAATTTTGCCCCCTTTTGGATTGCATCCTGGACATGTCCATCAACCTGTAATGACGTTATATATAAATTTACCAAAAAAAATATCTAAAGTTGAAAATGCAATTTCATACAAAATTAAATAATGCATTAATTTTAATACTGATTTCCACATTAAAAGCTGCTTAATCATAATAATTAAGCTCTAAGTACAATTATTTCTCCTGACCAGAATATAAAGCTTTGAAAACCTTTGTTCTTTTAAACATTTAGATGAAGGATCATAGATTCAGCTTTCCAAACAATATATTGTCTTATTGAAATAATCATTGTTGTCTGAATTCAGATATGAAGTGAATACTCAAGAGTCAGCAATCTACCAATATAAAACTACAAACACCAAGGTCAACTCTATCAACAATTAACAAACATTTCATATCATATAGCAAGCTCTAAATCATCGTAATACGAAAGACACAAGAATGCATGTGTTGTTGTCATAATATAAAGGATGGGAAACAGGAAGTAGGTGTCTGTGGGATCTGAAAAGTGCACACACATTACAACTCCTCACTATTGAGCAGCTGGTAAAATATGAAGTCACTCTATTGAGTAGTTTATGTGAACAAAGTGACAAAAAATGTATAATAAGTTTAAAATAAATTCAATGCAAATGACTATTCTATCTGAGAATCAGCTCTGAATTTCACAAATGGACAATTTACTTAACTAAAGGAAAGCATGCTAATCATCATACCAGAGATACAGTTCCTTGCTGGCATGTAAGTTAGATTGTCCCATATGTCCTTTCATTTAATAATGCCAACAAATAGATGACTTATCAGGGAAAAAATTACAGGACCTGCTTACTGTTAATTCAGAAATTATTGCGATGTTTTTATTATTGCGAAAAATGCGACAGGGTTATAATCACAATAATTTAAACTTGCATTTGAAATTTTTTATATGAATTAAACATGATTTTTCTCAATATCGCAAAAATTACAAGAGCTGTCAAAATGACAGTAAACCGGATTCTTTAACATTTATTTGTGTTCTGGCATTAATCAATATCACAAGGACCAAAACTCCTAATAGGTAAAATTTATGATCATCAATATCAAACTTGACTTCCATGTTGTCAACAATAACAACATATAAACTAGATAGAAAATGACCCTCTAGCAGGACAAACTGTGTGCCCTTAATGCATAAATTAAAAAAAAATTACTAAGTCCACCTACCTAGGATTTTGAAAATATCTAAAAAAAAAAATTAATGAATTGTATGGTTTTCAAATGGAAAGGCAAAAATCAAGCTTGACCTGTTTGACCATCTAGTTATCATAAGTGACATCATTTTGAAATATTAGAGAGCATATAAGTACACACACGTTTGTTCAGCAGGGGTGGGTAGGCAGAAATCATGAAGTCAAACAAGGAAGAGATAAGTTTATGAGACTTAAACCTTATAAAATATGAAACCATAGTATCTTGTGGTCACTCCAATAACTTTCTAGGCTCCCACTTTCAAACTGTTGTTGTCTTGTAATATAGGCATGGTCAATGGAAGAATGATTGTCTGTGGTTTCATCGATATGAGCTTGGCCTAAATTAAGTGCATGCATAGTACTCTGAAGTTTTTTCAACTGCGTAGTTTGTTTGAATTGGTCAATATTGATATCTCCAAGAAGAACTGTGTAATGATTGGGTGTCACAACAGAATGTATTGTATCACAAATGCTGTCCACATTGGTTGATGGATGACAGTATATCGATGTCAGACAATAGTGCCAATAATACTCGGGTAACACAATTTTTCAATCTTTCAAGAACCGAAAGGTTTGGTTGAACGGTTCATGAGTAAATGCACGGACACGACAATTTTTAAACTTTCAAGAACCGTAACTCCTGAATGGTACAAGTCAAAATCGTGATTATTGAACTTGACCTCCATTTTGTTGTCAGTAACAACATATTAAAATTTAAAAAGGTTTGGTTGAACAGTTCATGAGTAAATGCACGGACACAACATTTTTTAAACTTTCAAGAACCGTAACTCCTGAACGGTAAAAGTCAAAATCGTCATTATTGAACTTGACCTCCATTTTGTTGTCAGTAACAACATATTAAAATTTAAAAAGGTTTGGTTGAACAGTTCATGAGTAAATGCACGGACACGACATTTTTTAAACTTTCAAGAACCGTAACTCCTGAACGGTAAAAGTCAAAATCGTCATTATTGAACTTGACCTCCATTTTGTTGTCAGTAACAACATATTAAAATTTAAAAAGGTTTGGTTGAACGGTTCATGAGTAAATGCACGGACACGACATTTTTTAAACTTTCAAGAACCGTAACTCCTGAACGGTAAAAGTCAAAATCGTCATTATTAAACTTGACCTCCATTTTGTTGTCAGTAACAACATATTAAAATTTTAAAAGGTTTGGTTGAATGGTTTATGAGTAAATGCACGGACAACATTTGGTTGTCGCCCGCCCGCCCGCCCGCCCGCCCCGACCGACCGACCGACCGCCGTACATCCCCAAATCAATAACCGACATTTTTGACACAAAAATCCGGTTAAAAATCGCATTTTAGTCTAAAATGACAAAATCGCAATAATAAATGCACGCCATTATTTCTGAATATTACTGTATATTTAAGAAAAATGAATATGGGTATACATAAAATGTTTCTTTAAACACATGCCTTTTCCACTGCATTGTGATTTATCAATGGCCCTTGGGTTGTACCAGATTCAAATCCATCACCAACTTTGAGATCTCTGGTCATCACCTCTGCAAGCTTTTGAATATATTTCGGGTAAATACCTTCTTGAACTAGAATTCTATTGGCACACACACAGGTCTGAAAAAATATAATTTTCTTTCTTTCTACAAAAATATATATTTTATATATATTCACTTATTGAGAATATTCAGTGACTAGTAAAGCATTAATCAAAACTGACATTAAATTTTAATAGCATTATTTTGAAATGGCAAAAAGTGACCTAAAAATTGAGTAAGTTGTAACTGTACAAATGTATGATGGGTGTGGTTTAGAACCTAAATATATTTCTTATTGTCTTATTTATGAAATTTCTACAGTTGTGTTTACTGGACATAAAAAGGGAAAAATCATACTTCCATTTTCTTTTAACATAACAAAGAAGGGATTTATTGTCAATGACAGCTGACATAACTATTTAGGCTTTTGTTAGGCAAGGAATGATTTAGTTTGTAGGTGGACTTCACTAGGATTACTTATCATTCTTTGCATATGTTTCTTAGAAATAATGTCATTTATCAAGAATACTGAGAAGCATTCAGATGAAGAACAACAACAATATCCCTCTTATCCTTTTTAGATATAATAGTGATTTCCAACATATTCATTATTTTTTTTGTGTCATGTGCTTTTGTCTCATTTCTTTCCTTTCCAATGAAGAAATAAATTAACAGTCATAAAAAAGATATGCAGAGTATATTATGTATTAAGGTGGTACCAAACACCTTGACTAAAATTAATTTGGCTTGTTTAATTTTCATAAAATTTTGACAAAATATTTACTTTGACCCTTTGAAAAAAATATAAAAATTTCAAAACACTTGAACCTCAGACTTTATTGGAAAAATTTCATTGGATATATAGCAGTTTGACAATTACTAATTTTGATCATTGAAAAGCTTAATATTTCCTTAACAATAGAATGTGATTAAAACGTTCAGCTGATTTTTACAGACTTACCTCCCTGTATTGTTATGTACCACCTTAAACATATTTTTGTCCTTAAAAAGGCCGAACTTTAGAACAATATTTTTTTTATAAATAAACTGATAAAATTATTGTTCTACCTGTCCTGAACATCTAAATTTAGAGTTCATAGTTCCATTGACTGCCTGGTCAAGATCAGCACTATCAAACACAATGAATGGAGCATTTCCTCCCAACTCTAATGAAACTTTCTTCACTGTAGAGGCTGACTGCTGGAGCAATATCTAAAAATAGAGAGAGAGAATTTTTAAATTACATCTCTTGTACTATGAGGGGATATTTATTCTTACATAACTGTAACCAACTTGGTAGGGAAAAAACTTTCATTAATCCACTGGTATGTCGAAACCAATTTCTTTATACAAAGGATTTATTCATTTTCTTGGGTATACTTTTGTTGTGTTTCAGGGAAGGATACTTAAATTCAAATGTTCCAATATTCCCTACTGACTTTTAATATCTACATTCATGTGAAGACTTATAAACTTTAATATCTCATAGAGATTTAGATTATCACAAGGTTTTGACTCATGAACTATCTATTTAAAATACAATTTAAATTTTTTGAATATCAAAAATACACAAATAATAACTTAATCATGAATAAATCGTTCCAATATCAAATCTTAAGGAAATACTTTCCAATCTTTTCTCATAGCAATGGCCTTAAATCAAAAATGTTTATCTACAATGAATTAATACCGGGGGTAATTACTTAATCATGAATTAACCAGTTTAGTCACAAGAACCAAAAGATTACTCAAAATTTAGTAATCATTGCTTGGTGCAGTTCTTCAATGATCCAATTAGGATCAATAAAATGTTTAATCACAAAGATCAAAAGATTAATCAATATTTATTGATTACTGCTAATATTGGTAATCATTGTTTGAAAACAGTTCTTCAATGATCAAATTATCACTGCTAATATGTTTAATCACAAAGATCAAAAGATTAATCAATTCTAAGTGATTACAGCCAATATTGGTAATCATTGTTTGAAAATAGTTCATTTAATCATTCAATAATCACTGCTAATATGTTTAATTACCAAGATCAAAGAATTATGATTATAAAATAATCACAATGTATTTAGAACTAATAATTCTGATTTTTAAAACAGAAAATTTATTACTGTACATAATATGAAGTTCTTTATTATCATATATCATATTTATATATATGCAAACAATAATTTTAATTTCTAGAATCTTCAACTTATAAACTACAATTCAAAACCCTTGGTTGCAATTAAGGATTTTCTAATAAATCTGTTTTCAAAGGTGAAAATTGTGAGGAGAGGTGATGATTTAAATAAACTTATTTGGAAATATCATCACTATGTATATTATATTATTTTAAATGCATGTAGATCAATCTGAAATGTTATTTTGAATTTACTTTACATGCATATATCATATCAAAATAAAGAACAGATAAGACTTATTTTTTGCAAAACACTGTGTGAATTTATTTCTCATAATGGTCTGAAATATGTCTTTTATCGCACATAATATATATAATGTAGAAAAACACATCAAAATCTACACTATATAGTAAACTACTTTTCTTACAATAAAGATATTTCTATATATATTCATATTCTATGGGGGTTTAAACATGCATATAAAATATTTAAAAAATAAGACATTATATTTTATTTAATTTTTTCAACAATGAAAGTAGAAAAAAGTAGTTAAAGCAAACTTTTATTGCATTAAAACCTAAAGCATTCCATACCTTCACTAAAAAAATAAATATTTCTTTATATACTTTTTTCTTATTAAACAAATCTTTTGCATTTAATGAATTACTTAAAACTGTTCTCATTTCTTTTATTATTTTCTTATTGGGCATTCAGAGTATCAAAAAAATATATTATTTCTTACAGTTTTACAAATAAAAAAGAAGAACTTTGTTTATTTTATTAATTATTCTTAATGATTTATTGTTAAATCATAATCACAGTGATTCTTTGATTAGACCATGCTAGCTTGTGCTAATCACAGTAAACAGTAGAAGCCTACCTCACAGCCAATGAAAATGCATGAATAAAGTTCACTATTATTTTCAACCAATGGCAATCAAGTGTTTGGACGATAAGCCAAACATGGCACATGTGACACCATATTTAAGAAATTCACTTTTGAGTCAATTCATTATTCACTTATCAACTACCAATCTCAATCAATCATTGTGCTATTACTAAACAATCACTACAATAATGGCTGATTTCCTGGACTTCCTGTTGTCATCACCTACCAAGTCACCACTACCTATAGAGATCACATCTACTACCACACTAGAGGACATCATAGCTGCTACTATTCAAACAGACACCACTTCCTCAGATGTCACTACTCAACCAGATTCAACTGATACCACTTCTACTGATGATCTTACCAACACCACTGAAGATGATGAGGCCCTGGCTGCTGCTATCCTTGCGGAAGCAACAGCTCTTGAGCCTGAGACAGAAACTCGCCTTGCTGACTCACTCTTTGGTCTACTTGGATCACCACCACCAGAGCAACTACTCAGCGATAACTCAGCAGTCCTAGAACTACAGTCACTACTCAAGACAGAACTCAAACAGCAAACCATACCAGAGACTCTGATGAAGCTACTACACAAACCCAAAACCAGTGTATTTACCAGAGAGCAACAACTTCAACATCAGTTTACCAAACTCGAAGTCAACTACCAAACTCAGGTGTCTCAGCTATCCAGCTTCTTCAAGTACCAATCTGCTGTAATTGAGACTGAGCGTTACCAGTCACTTCACCAGAATGCTGCAAAACCACATCTACGAGATTCAATCAACAACCACTTTGATGAGCAACTACACAAGGCTATAGATAGGGTTGAGGTAATATATTAAACATTATTAAATAAATTAAATATGAAAAAAAAAAAAAATATTTTTGAAATAAATATTAATACAGAATTAATAAAAATTATTTAAATAAATTGTCCCCTAAAACAAAATATTTTATTTAGTTATGGCTGCAGATTTTTTTTTATTTTAATGACAAATAAAGATTAAGTTTATGTAACTGAGCCAGTCATTTTACCTATGCTTTGTTGTAATTAATGTATTTTTGTATTTATATTGACATGTTAATTCACTATCTCATTTATTTTACAGCTCAGTGTTATGAACCTCCAGCAATCAGTCACTGACCAGACACACACCAGTACCCATACTACTACCAAGATTCCAACTACCAGACCATTTAATGTCCGCTCTCGTCCACAGCTCTCACGTAGGTCCATCCAGCTCATGGAAGAATGGTACCACTGCAACATAGACCACCCATACCCAGACTCAACCATCATCCAGTCCATTGCACTTCAGGGGAACATCAGAGAAGAACAGGTCAAGAAATGGTTTGCCAACAAACGTAGCCGTTCACAGAACACCCACTCACGTACAGTCATCACCTCTCGTAAGATGTCATCTCGCTACAACAAGAACTCACACTACCAGCCTTACTAAAGATCTACATTGATGTGAAATTGTTTGTCATAAGTGCTATGAACTTCTTTCTTTTAAGTTCTATGATCTTTTGTTTGTTTACTTAGTGCTATGAATTTTTATTTGTTTGTCCTATGTGCTAATAACTTATACTTGATAACTGAAATTTATTGCTTAAATTTGTTTTATTATGTATTATACTGTAAATCATGTTATTAATGTGCCACATGCTAATAAATAATTATAATTCTATTATTCCTTACTTATTTTTTTATAGAAAATATAAAATACAAACAAAATAAAAACATATATTATAAACAACTATTTACAGTTACAATCAACAGGAAACAAAAATGATATACTTAATGTACAAGACTTGTCTTGACTATAAGTCTCCATTTATAATCTAGAAAAAAATACAGTACACAAAAATAATAACGAATCGGCAGTCAGCAAAATTTATACTATAATAGTCAATTTTATAAAATAAAATAAATAATTGAAACTATATCTATTTTACAGACCTGTTTTAACTCTTGAATATCATCAACAAATATGTTTTGATTATGGATGTAGTTGTGTCAGGTTTCAGAATTTTTGTCAGATGTTTGGACTCCTTGGGTTTTTTCTTAGGATACAGGGTAAAATATTATGTCCCATATCACCCACTTTTCTTTTCATATAAGACTTCAATAGCTCATAAAAGGTTATTTACCAAAATTTAAGCAGATTATAGATTTCTTTTCTTATAATTTGATACCCAAATAATGTCAATGCTAAATATAAGGTTAAAATTTCTATGTGGAAAAAGAGAGGGAGAAAAAGTTCCTACCTGAATGAAAGTTTATATTCTCCATTAGTTATGACATAATTACAATAGGAAATATGTAAATATGTTCCCTGTGTTCTTACCTCTTTATAAAAGACAACAATCAGGAGCAATATATATGAAATGCCTCAAAATAAAGCTAGTTATAAAAATAAAGGTTGATAACTCTTAGACCACAAACATCTATCTGTCAATTTTCTGCATTATTCAGTAAAAAATATTAAGAACCACAGTTCGAAATGTGTTGATACATGATTTGTGGTTTTCCCTTCGTATAGTTTGCTAAATTTCAAATCAGAAATTTAATCCCAGACTGTCTGTAAAAGTTAACTGTAAAAAAACGAGGTCCATCTATCAAAAAAATACTAAAAATGAAAAAAAAAAATATTTTCAAAGCTTTGCTTCAGACATTATCTCTTAATCATAAAAAAGCTTCAACCAACATTTCATAAAACTCTATGAAGGTTTGACAAAGAAATTGATGTTTAACAAACTTTAACCCCAGAGTGTATCTACTTGTTAACTACAAAAGACCTCAGACTGTATCTACTTGTTAACTACAAAAGACCCCAGACTGTATCTACTTGTTAACTACAAAAGACCCCAGACTGTATCTACTTGTTAACTACAAAAGACTAAGTCCATTTATCATAAAAATACAGAAAAATGAAAATAAATATTTTCAAAATTTTGCTCTGGATACTGTATTTTGGTCATAAACAAGCTTCTGTCCAAATTTCATAAATTTCCATGAAAGTTTGAAAAAGTTATAAATGACTAAATAACTTTAACATCAGATTGAGCCTGAGTGTTAACTGTAAAAAAAAACTATGTCAATTTATCAGTAATACGGAAAAAAAAAGAAGAATTATTTTCAAAATTTGGCTGTGGAAACTGTCTTTTGGTCATAAACAAAC